GATTTATCCTTGAGACAGTTCAACCTTTACATTTCTCATTTACCGAGTTTTTTCTTCTATTTCAACAAATGCTAAACAATAAATAATCAGGACAAGAGAAATGTTTACTTTTTCAAATAATAAATTATCAAATCCAATAAAATTATGTAATGTTAGAAGGTTTTTTTTTAATGACAGGAGAGGGAGGGGGCATGCCCCCCTTCATGTCAACCTGACACCCCTGAAATGTGTTCTTAGTACAATTTTAAAACAAAAGGATTGTAAAGAAAGAGTTCTGGGTAATCTTTTAACATTTGTTCTTTAACTAGAATAGGTCTCATATATTTACAATTCTTTGAGGGGGAAGGAGAGGGGGGGGGAAAGGGGGGAAAACATGGAAAACATAAAATCTGAATAATTAAATCTGGAATTTTTGTACACAATTACCAAAAGGGGTATCTTTATCTTATCACTATTTCTCTCTATCTTATCTATGTCCTATTTAACTTTCTCAATCCCATCTCCATGTCATATCTCTAAATCTCATCTCTATCTCTGTCAATCTCTGAGAGTATAAAAATGGTGTTTTGAGTGTTATGGGTAAATACCATTCCTCTGGTGTTGAGTAATTAGCATTGCATTTGATTTATTTTCAATTCCTCCAAATAAAATAATTTCCCTCCAGGCCCAAAACCGTAAATGTTCCCTTTTACCCTTACTCTATCCATCTTATTCTTCCATCTATTGTACTTCTCACCTTTTTCCAATCTCTTATCGCCCTATCCATTTCCCTCATTCTTTGCTAATACAAATTCTCCCTTTTCACTTCCTTCATTCTTTTTTTTTCACTTTTCTTAGCTACCTCCCTCATTTCTTTTCCGGCATTCTTTTTTGTTTACATTCCCCTTTCCCTTTTCCTAAACCTTTCCTTATCTACCTCTCTCTTTAATTTCTCTTTTTCCTTTTCCTGAATTCTTTTTCTAGTTTACCTCTTCCTTTTCCCTTTCATCATTTATTCCGTGTTTACCCTCATTCCCCGTTTCCTTTCTCTCATCCTTCCCTTATTTTCCTCCTCATTCCATTTCACATATCCTTTCTTTGTTAATGTTTGATATTAATATTCTTCTCCCTTTCTCTTATTTCTCTTTATATCCTTCCCCATTACCCTCTCCATTTTCTTTTCCTCGCTTACTTTCCTCTTTTCCTTTCCCTCATCCTGTTCTTTCTAATCTCCACCTTTTCCTTTCACTTTTCCTTTCCTTGTTTATCTCCCCTTTCCATTCTCTCATCCTTTCCTTGTTAATGTTTAATATTAATATTTTCTCCCTTTCTTATATTTCTCTTTTTAACCTTCCCCATTACCCTCTCCCTTTCCATCACAAGTGCTTTGACAGATCCCTTGACAAATTATTCTAGTCTCCGCCATTTTTCCTTTCTTTCAAGTTTTTGTTAAAGAATATGTTCAGTGTTCACAAATAATAGTTTTCAGATTTTCAAAGCATGGAAACTGCTTGTAACGGATAATTTAGGAACATTTCTAATCAATTATCTTCAGGCCTGTAGCTATAGGGGGAGGGGGCACAGGGGCCGTATCACCCTTTTAACACAACACATTATCTGAGACCAAAAAAGAACTTAAAAGTGAAAAGAAGGAAACGAAAAGTGAAAAAAATTGGAAAAAGGGAAACCAATAGTATTTGTTAAAGGTCATTTTTCTCAAAAGGAATTTAGTTCTTGCCACAAACTCTGATTTTCTAATCTCTATATCTTTGCAACCCAATGTCTCGCAGACCTTTTATGTTTTAAACTATGAATTCTGTTAGACCAAAAAATCTAAGTTAGAAATATCAGATTGGACAAATATAGGTATTAGACAATTTGAGTTTGCGGCAAAAACTCAGTCCCTTTGTCTGCTATATGATTTGGCAATTTTTATTTGAAAGTTAGGTTTAACATCATTTCTAATTCATTTTGATAACAGAGAAACTTATCTTTTTCTGTCTTAATATAAGTTAATGATTTTTATTAACTATCTTATAGAGTTAAAAGCAACATTATAGACACAAATTGAATTAAATATAGAATTTTTTTTGAGCTCATATTCATTATTTTGCAAATACAACATATCTTCTCGATAGCAAACAGACAAAATATCAATCTAAAATGAAATATAGCGTGTAATAAGTTGATCATGATTTTTTAGCCTTGATTCAAAAATCATAAAATTTTCTGAGGTTTTCAGGTCCACAACATATTTTTTGTCTGCATCGCACCCCTTCTATATCCCCATGCCCTATTTTAGGAATTTCTCCCCATTTTGCAAATATTTTTCTATTTTACTGGATTTTGCGAAAAATCAATTTTTGATTTTCAAATTTTTTTGTCAGATTCTAAAAGTAGAGCAAAACAGCTATCCAATGATGAATCATTCGTCATATTTGGACATCAATCATGGGATTTAGAGGAGGGGTTCAAATTGACCCCCCCCCTAGCGTATCCTGGGTTTCAAGTACCCCAGCAGGGATAGGGTTAAAAACAAAAGCGCAACAAAGAAATCGAGTCTTTGCAACATTCTCTCTTATAATAATTCCTATATCTTTGCAACTCAATGTCGTAGAACTTAGATATTTCAAACAATGAATTCTGATAGAGCTAATAATCTAAGTTTGAAATATCTAAGGTGTTCACTTTTATGCTTCAAAGATGTTGGGGTTAGAAAATTGAGTTTTTTTGCAAAACTCAAATCCTTATTTCGCCACAATATGCATGGGTACTAAGAAAGTTGGGAACTCTTGTTTTGTGTGGATATCTCGATTAATGCTTGATCTCGATCTGCAGATTAATTTAATCTTTATTCGAGTAACAAATACCTTGAAGGAAATAAAGATAAAGAGATAAACATTGATCATCAAATTAAAAGTGTCCTCTGTGGATATCATGATCTGTGGATATCAGGATCTGTGGATATCAGGATCTGTGGATATCAGGATCTGTGGATATCAGGATCTGTGGATATCAGGATCTGTGGATATCAGGATCTGTGGATATCAGGATCTGTGGATATCAGGATCTGTGGATATCAGGATCTGTGGATATCAGGATCTGTGGATATCAGGATCTGTGGATATCAGGATCTGTGGATATCAGGATCTGTGGATATCAGGATCTGTGGATATCAGGATCTGTGGATATCAGGATCTGTGGATATCAGGATCTGTGGATATCAGGATCTGTGGATATCAGGATCTGTGGATATCAGGATCTGTGGATATCAGGATCTGTGGATATCAGGATCTGTGGATATCAGGATCTGTGGATATCAGGATCTGTGGATATCAGGATCTGTGGATATCAGGATCTGTGGATATCAGGATCTGTGGATATCAGGATCTGTGGATATCAGGATCTGTGGATATCAGGATCTGTGGATATCAGGATCTGTGGATATCAGGATCTGTGGATATCAGGATCTGTGGATATCAGGATCTGTGGATATCAGGATCTGTGGATATCAGGATCTGTGGATATCAGGATCTGTGGATATCAGGATCTGTGGATATCAGGATCTGTGGATATCAGGATCTGTGGATATCAGGATCTGTGGATATCAGGATCTGTGGATATCNTTGGCAGCTGGCAGTATATATATAGTTTTATTAAAGTATAGGTTGCCGACTTTACCGAGGTATGATGCTGGATTGGCAGCTGGCAGTATATATAGAGTATATACGGGTTCTAGACTTTATTATTTGAATTTATAATCAGTATTGGCAGCAACATTAATGGATAGAAACTTGTCCATGCATCATGTTCAACTAATCAAGGGATATATTATAGATATAAAGTAGTAATCTCTGTTTGTTTGTTATATTTCCGATCATAACTCAGGACCAGAAAATATTAAGCTTACAATATTGAATATTGACATTTATAGAATATAAGACATTATATTTATTAAAAAATATATCTGAAAGTTTACTGACTTTCTTTCGGTTTTTATGTTTTTGAATCAATCATTACAAGAAGCAAACAGCAATTAAAAGTTTTTATCATTCAGAGGCAAAATTTAATGAATTTGAACCGCCAACCAGGGAAAATTGTGTGCTGGCTCAAATTTTGAAAGTTGAACCAACCATGTTTGAACAATAAAGATATTTTAAATTTGGTCTCTGATTTCTGAACCTTAGGATAATGTTTGATGTTGTTAGATAAACTAAGACTCATTAGTGGATTCGACACTAGCTCTATACATTTATTTACCAATTATTAAAGGAAATCCTAATGCTATTTCAAGGGGTTGCATGCAATACACACTTTAGTTTCAGTAGAAGTAAATATTTCCATTTATTGTCCAATGCCGATCTAAGGATTCATCTCTGATTGGATGATGAGATTGATAGAAAGATAGATGTTATAGCAATACAATTTTTATGGGTTCAGAATATACAACAAACCCAGGACTGAACCCTGATTGGATCAGGCGCTAATGGAATCGGCATACAAGTGTGAATTCTACCGTTTACATCTTTGTCTCACCAAGATTAATAAAGAAATTCTTGATTTTCTAATTTAAAATTGAATTTTCGTTGCCAGTTTCCGGTCCTTCGAATAGAAATAAAATTGAAACAATTGAAATAAATACATTTTTATAAAAGATTATATTTAGACTAAAAAATAGCAGAATAACAAAATTGTACACGGAATAATTGATTGTAAGTAAAAAACAATATTTAGTCTCCCTGCACACTAAATCAATAAAATGACATTACAATCAGAGATCGAAAAATTTAGATATTAAACGGGCACTTCAGGCTTCAATTATTTTTTATTGTTTGATTCATTGATTTTTTTCCAGCCATTTTGGTCACGAGAGTTTCTTATAAATCTATAGCAATTAGAAATAAAGATTTACAGATGATGTGCTGTAATAATAATATTGCACGTTAAAAATAGATTAGATACGTTTTTGCTAATTTAAGTTTTAAGCATAAATAACAAACATTTAGTATTTTTTTTACAAACTACAACATTTTATATATTAGTTATTTTTCTAAATTAATTATTATAATTGCTACCTAAAATAAGATTAATTACACAAAGTTATAACACGAATAAGTTTTCATGTGTCAAAAGTTTCTAAATATTCTGATATGTTTATGATATGCATATTGGCGTTATACTGATGAAGATATTTAAAAAATTACATTAACATCTAGACAAATTCGTTAATGAGGAAGACGACAAGACAAACTACATCTAAGAATTAATTGCGGCATTCTCGCAGTTTCAGTGAAGTGCACAATGCTGCACACTCAATGAATTTTGGCAAGAAGGTTCATTTGCCAAATTTGAGGCTTAAGTTCGCGGGCACGATTGGAAACCAATTCATTGGTGTAAATATCTGATTTGGCACATTTCAATTTATTGGCACTTAAATACTCTTTTAATCAAAACCACAAAAATGGATTCTTAAGAAAATGTCCCAACTCAGGACATATTCTGAATATTTAATTTCATTAATTTTGAGTCATTTAAACATTATATAACATATTTTATTAAAACCTAAATGGGACCTTGGTAAACGTCTATTAATTATAATCAAATGTTTTGATGATATGTTTAAAACAACAATGTAGAGCTTTAAATAATTGTTATACAATCTAGAATCTAATAATATTTAAAATGTGCATTTTTGGCTAAGCATGTATCTCCAAATCACAACCTTTCATTGCCTTGTATATCTCCATGTTTTATAAGAGTTAGAATTTAGTTAACATTTACTGTACAGCAAAAACATCCAGAATTTTATGAATAAAATGTTATTGCAGAAAAAGATTTTGATAAAGATTTTGATTTTGTATTATTGTCACTTTTTAAATCTTTTTAAAAGAGCCATTATATGATTTGATATGTTAATTTACTGGTTGGTAGAGCTTGATAATATATAAATTGTGTTGATATGTATATTGGATTGCAAGTTTGAACCCTACCAAAGGAAAGGCAAGGCCCAGTTTTCAATCTGAAACAAATGAAAAGAAAATATAGAATATTAAATGTATCTTTTTTTAGAATAGATCCTGAAATTACCAGTGTTTTTATTATTTTTTTGAGATGCCCGAATTCGAGTCGAGTCCTCAGCCGACACTTTTAATTTGAAGTTGAAAACACTAAATTTTTAGTCAACAGTATTCACATTTTCTATCTCTCATTGTCCACAATTAGTTTTGTACCTTCTGATTATATTTGAAGATACTTTAAAAGAATTAACTTAATCCGCTTAACAAAAGGTCTCTCTGAAGACATCAATATACAAAGTTCCGATCTTTTTATGAATAAAAATGATATTTTCATTTTTTAAAGATTTTTCCTTAATCCCACCTCTTTTATTTGTCTTTTAAAGACGGAATGTTGGATGTTGTAGATTAGATAAACTGCATCAATGCACAGGAGCCTGAAATAATCAATCAATCAATTTACCATAAATATATTTCAAGAAACTGAATAATCGCCCCAAACTCTGATTTTGAATCCATATTTTCAACGTGATTACGAAGATCTTTGAGATATCCAGAATTCGAGTCTAGTCAAATAGGCAAAGTTTTACATTATATCATTCGGTTGCAAAGGGTTGAGAAAATTTGAATGAAAGACAAGAATGATCCTTAGTTTGTTGGATAATAAAGATTTTGAAACACTTGTGTAAAAACCAACAAGATCTGAACATCTGTAATGTTTTTTTTCCTTTTAGAACGCACTAATCCGTAGCTTCTGTAATCTGACAGATTACGTTAATTCTTTGGGAATATTTTGGAAGGCCTGGTTGCAGTTATTGATCACGTGTTTAACCATTAGTGAATATTAATTTCAAGCGCTGTAATAGATTTGCAGTATTTAATGCAAAACTTCTAACTTCCTGATAACATGCTACAGGGTGTTTCAATACACTTGAAAGCCGTCTTTGATTTTTGATATTTAAGCCATGGGAAAGAAAACGAGGCTGTATGTAATACGATATTTTCAAACAGTGTTTTACCTTTCTTGTGTCTTAGAATTTGACGAAGATAATAGATATTAAGACAGTTCTGATTTTTTAATTAAATTGAAATTTGTACAAATTTTGCAATATCTCCGTCAATTTTGAAAATGGTAGACCACATTTTGAAAATCTCAAGACCCTGCGTTTTCTATATTAGATGCTTAAACTAGAATAATGCAACAACTGTAGTGTTAATAACAAAATTCCGCAGTGATTGACAACTTTAAAAGTCGTCACTTGATTCCCATGTTTATTGGGACATCCTGTACAAAGCCCTACTCCATAATGTTTATTTACCTTCATTGCATTAGGTGAAACGTACTGGAATCCCGCTAATCCCCCCATACCTGCTGTCTCCATAGATATTCTAAACAAAACAGGGCTAGTTTAGGTTAGGCTTTTCTTCTGGGAGCTTTATAGACTAAGTAACCTGGAACCAAATAAGTAGTTGAACTACTAAGAGTAAAGCCACATCTCTTTTAATATAAAACGAAATTCTTTTAATTAAGTATTTTTTAAGGCTTAAATTTGACGATTCCAGGTCTTAGCTTTTAGCTCTTTATAAATATGATTAATGATTCAAGACTGGGTTTAGGTTTAAGAATAAGTTTTATAAATAAAAGAATATCGCAATGCAATCCTCTTGTGTGTTGAAGTAAGGAAAATATACATATTACAGGTATCCCGTGAGCCTGTATGGGGTATTGTTTAGGTTTGTGTAGATTTTATATTTTAGAAAATAATGTGCATTAGAAGTAATTTTTGTCGGGGAAATTATTCTGATTTTGATTTCTCTAATGTGATATTTTAAAAGTAAGAAAAAATCAAAACAAGAAAACAGTTGCGACATTCTTTATCTATAATATGTACCTCCTATTCATTTCACTATTTAGGATAAATCTATAGTTCATACATTTAAACTGTGTTTGCAGCAGCTAGTTGGCTAGTTGACACTTGACCAGGATTTGAATATTTTATAGGGATTAATCTAATCTATTTAGCTGTTTCAGGTTTATCTTCTTCAAGTTATTCTAAAACATTTCTGTTTCTATGCTTGATTGTATAAGACGAAATATCGAGTGAACCGAAATTTAAAAAAAGCGTTACATTTCCATTCACAACGGTTCTTTTTTTATCTTTTTTTTGCCTTGAAAATATACAACTTCTCACTATTTCTATTTCTTTATGCAGAGGGAAAAACAGAAATAATTCAAACATTTTGCCCAAATAAAAGGTACCATAGTGAATCAAACATATGAAGCGTTTTAAATGGAAAACCAATTTAAATTTCGTGCCAAGTTCTTTTTATTGGGATAATCTCTGAAAAAATTATTTAAGTTAATATCATTATGTAGAAATAGAAATACTCTTTATTATCTTTTTATTGAATTTGCAATTTCTTTATACTTGTTATAAATAAAGCAGCAAAATAAATTATTAACAATCTGGGTTTTTCATTGTTTGATGAATAATGCGCATCTAGGGTATTGATTTTAATAATCTCGAAGATATTAAGAATGACGAATTAAGACGCGCTCAGCTAGCTCCACTCCTACCTGGAGGCTTAACTTTAATCCTTCAGTCAACCATATTTAAGCCTCGTTTCAAATTTAAACCGCAGTTCAAATTCTTAAAATTTGGCCTGTGGTTAAAAAACGTTTAAGCTTGGATCAGGAGCTTAGCCACTGATACTAAGCGCTAACCCAATCAAAAATTTTCGCCTCTATAGTGTTTCCAAATATTTTGGGCTAAATGTAGGCTATGCACTCACATTTTTTAAGTATCTTTGATTCTAACCATTGTGATAAATATCAATCATCAAATTGTTTACTTATACGATGAAAATTTTTTTTTCTAAGATAAAGTATATATAATGGTAGATTTCCATTACTGAAAAAATTAATTTAAGATTTTACAGGGTATCCCAAAACACTTTTCTCGTCATGGTTCGATTTTTATAGTTTTTTTTTGTATTATCCTTGGATTTTAGATCTTAATTTCCTGTTTGGATATTCTAATTAAATAAATAAGACATGGACGGAAAACAAAATTAATAAATTTACTAACTCAACCAATTTCTTAAACTGTCATAATTTCTTTAATTTTTGTTCTACAGACCTCTGGTTGGTGTCCGTCGATCAGAAATATTACGTACATTTCAAGAACTGAATCCCAATGAGAGCCGTACAGAGCGTTTTTTGGGACACCCTGCTTAGTTTTCGAATTTTTTTTCTGGCGCAAACTTGCCTTCCAATGAATGTTATATAAATGCCACATTAATTTGTATCTTCTTAAACCCAAGACTTCCCATTCCCCCCTTCCCTTCACTTCTATGACCTGCTAAGCTGTTAAAATAAACTGAAAATAGACTTTTGTAAATTTGACAGGTTACACGAAGCAGACCGTGTGAGACAGGGGGGGGGGGTTTAAGGGGGGAACAAAATAATGCACACCTTACACCTCACGTTTTTGCCGTTTGTCGGCTTTATTTGATTGAGAATCTAGCTCTGCAAGACCAAAATTATATATATGTTACACATTTTTAGTTTAAATATTCATGTAAGACATTCCTCTGCAGGGCGCATATTTAACAGACTTGACCTCCCTTACCCCCCCCCCCCTGCATAGATTAAATCATTATGACGTCTTCGACCGCTCATATACAGGATGTCCCACAAAACTGAAAGACGACCAATGAATGCAGAATTTTAAAAGTCAATTGTTGGACCTCTTAATTTTCATATTTTGTGGGACACCCTATACAATACATTTTTTTCAAATATCTGAAAAATAAGTAGTTGGTGAAATAGAGAACAAGCTTTAACTTTACCTTTGAGTGCAATAAATTAAAGATGTTTAAAGGGAAAGGTCGACCTTGTTTTTTAATGAATGTTTACGCAGGATATAAAATATTTTAACACTTCTTTTATTCCTCGTAAACAGATCTTTCACAACATTTTTTAGGTTGTAGGATTGGCTCGGAGGCCTTTCTGCGAATCAGGAGGCTCCGGAGGTCAGTTTGCGAGGCTTCATGGATGCTCTGCACCCCCTCCCTCGCTGGAGAGGCACATCATGATGATGGTAAAATTCAGTGTAAACTGTTGATCTATTTTTTATGGATATTTATGAATTGCAGGCACAACTAAACTTATTATCGAGGAATTTTATAAGGAAATCAATAATGATCTATACAACTATCTTTCTAATTTTTGTTTTTGTTTAGTTTCTGTATTTTTAAAAAGATATGTCTTTTTTGGTTGGTTTCTGTTTTGGCTGATTTGTTGGTTTAGTTTGGTTCAGATTTCTGATTTAGTTTTGAATATTATTGTTCAATTTGTTTCCATTTTTTGGGTTAGTTATCTAGTTTGGTTTGGTTTGGTTTGGGTATCTGGTATGGTTCGGTTTGTTTATCTAGTTTGGTTTGGTTATCTGGATTGGTTGGGTATCTAGTTTGATTTGGTTATCTGGTTTGGTTTGGTTGAGTTGGATATCTAGTTTGGTTTGGTTGGGTACCTAGTTTTGTTTTGTTTGGTTATCTGATTTGTTTGGTTTAGTTATCTGGTTTGGTTGGTTTTCTGGTTTGGTTTGGTTATCTGGTTTGGTTTAGTTCTCTGGTTTGGTTTGGTTATCTGATTTGGTTTGGTTATCTGGTTTGGTTTGGGTATCTGGTTTGGTTTGGGTATCTGTTATTTGGTTTGGTTGGTTTTCTGGTTCGGTTTGGTTATCTGATTTGGTTTGGTTATCTGGTTTGGTTTGGGTATCTGATTTGGTTTAGTTATTTGGTTTGGTTGGTTTTCTGGTTCGGTTTGGTTATCTGATTTGGTTTGGTTATCTGGTTTGGTTTGGGTATCTGATTTGGTTTGGTTCTCTGGTTTGGTTTAGTTCTCTGGTTTGGTTTGGTTATCTGATTTTGTTTGGTTATCTGGTTTGGTTTGGTTATCTGATTTGATTTGGATTGAATCCTACCTCTACTCCCATGAGACTGGCTTTATGTAACTCAATACTGTAAAATATTATACTTTTTCAGTCCAAGGTACATTGCTGTACTGTACAGCTTATATATCCATAAACTCTGGTTATGTACAGCATTGTACAAACTGAAACATTTTGTACAGCACATCTGCTTAACCAGGATTGTTAATTCATTATTTGTTAAACCCAAAAACTATTTAAAATATTTATGTCATTTTTATTTTACCTCATATTGATTAAATACTGGGCAAGCGCCACGGATTCACAATTTCCTGAAAATATATTTTAAAAAAACGATTTAAACAAATTTTCTCCTTTGAAGCAAGGTTTTTTTAATTATTATTACTAAGATAGGGGCAAGGGATCATTTTGTAAATTCAAATTTTTATTTTTTATTAAAACATGCTATATTTGTTGTTTTTATTCCAAAACGACTGCTTTCATTTGAAAACGATCGTTTTCAAAAAGAAAGTTTCGTTTTTTTTTCATCGTCAACGAAACGAAACAATTACGTTTTTCCAAAAGGTTAAAACTGCCCATCCCTACTTATATTTATATAATGATTAATTAGAAAAACCGAACATCAATTGTCTTCAGGCAAATATTACGTTTATCGTGTTTTTATTTCACATCCTAACTCGAAAATCATCTACAGTTTGGTTTTAAGTAAGGGTTGGACAATTTGTCACTTTTTTCATAAAAATGTTCAGATCCTTTCAGCACGTGTCCTAAAGTTTCTACGATAAAAAAAAAACAAAAACAAGAATGTAAATTTTTCTCTCACTTTTAAATACCATCCAGGGCATCACATTTTTGTAAATATTAAATAACGTTCATCTTTAAAGATATAAAAACTACGAAATCCAGTTTTCAATGTATAACATTTAAATATCACTGTCAATTTTCAGGACACAAAGAAGGTAGACCACATTTTGAAAGCTGAAAGAACCTTCAAAACTTTTAATAGCACTTTTGGCCATTTATCAATTATCTAGAATTAAAGACAATTTTTTTTTATTATCCCTTCTTCCAGTTTTTAAGACACCCTGGTATTAAACTCGTTTCTACTATGGGTAAACTCGTTTCTACTAGGGGTAAACTCGTTTCTTCTACAGGTAATACCGTTTATACTAGTGATAAACTCGTTTCTACTAGGGGTAAACTCCTTTCTACTTGGGGTAAACTAGTTTTTACTACGGGTGAATTTGTTTCTACTAAGGGTAAACTCGTTTCTACTAGTGGTAAATTCGTTTCTACTAGGGGTAAACTCGTTTATAACTAGGGGTAAACTCGTTTCTACTAGGGGTAAACTTGTTTCTAACTAGAGGTAAACTCATTTCTACTAGGGGTAAACTCGTTTCTACTAGGGGTAAACTTGTTTCTACTAGGGGGGTAAACTCGTTTCTACTAGGGGGTAAACTCGTTAAAACAAACTCAAAATAAAATGAAAAAAATTGATCTTCCTCCCAGACTTAAAGAAAATCAAAGACAATATGCTGTCCACCTTAAATTGGTTATCTCTGTTTAATGCCCTGCATGTACTGCACAGGGCCCTTCATGTACTGTACAGTACCATGTCACTGTACAGAGCCCATGTACTGTTCAGTGTCCATGTACTGAACAGTGCTCATGTATTGTACAGTTCCCAGGTACTATACAGTGCTTATGGACTATACAGTGCCCATGTACTGTAAGTAAAATCTACCTGATATAGTGATGGTTCGATCTAGGTTGGCCGGCGCATCTCTATCCTCACAGTTGGAGATACGGATCATAGCTCCAGATAGTTGCCTAGTTAGAAAGATATATAGAAAAATTTATAGACAGATAGATAGAAATAGACAGATAGATAGAAATAGATAGATAGATAGAAATAGATAGATATATAGATTTATGTAACTACTGATGTTTATTGATTGGGGGATCTGACACAATTTGTATTAATAAATATGAAAACTGATAAGCTGCTCTGATTATTGCTTAATAGGTAAATATCTCCAACTACTTCTTGTTGTCGAGAACTTTGAGCTCCTTGGTGAACCTGTTCTACTGGATATATATATATATGTATAGATAGATAGATATAAGGATAAATAGATAGATCACAGACTACACAGACTGTTCATACACTCTACCTAGATAGGCTGAGCAGGCCTATAGTGTCCCGGCACGCCATGCTACGGTTCTGTGTAATATTTTTTGACTGGCATCTCACGGCCACTTGTTGCATTCAGGAGTTAAGTTTTACAACTTTTAAAGAAATACTCCAATTTTAAACATAAAACATAACATTTATGAATTCAGTCTTTTTTGAAGATTTTGTGTTTCATATCCAAAGGATCCTTAAATACAGATGTTTGCTGATTGGTCGCGTACAGTACTTGTACAAAATAGAACATGCTGTGGAAAATATCGTATATTTTAGCTGATAATCAATCTCTGTAATTCTCTTTTCTCTTAGATAGATAGATAGATAGATAGATAGATAGATAAATAAATAGATAAATAGATAGTTAGATACATAGACAGATAAATAGCTAGACAACAAATAAATATATTGGGTGTCGCTTTTAATTTAATGGTCTTGTTAAAGGTGCTCTTCATTAATTTAGAATTTCAATTTTAAGAAATCTAAAGAATTAGATTTTATTGCATATTTCAGTAGAATAAATTCAAATTTTTTTTCTCAATTTGTTCTGTTCAGTCCCCCTGGTCACTCTGCATGCCTAGCTGCAGTGTAGTGAGGGGGGAGGGTCCAGAAATGAGGCAGGATGAGCATTCCTAGAATTCTCTTCCTTCTATGCTATAGGAAAAACTTGTTAAACTTGTTTTACTGCATGAAGCACTCTAGACTAGATTCTGTGTCACTTGTATTCAGAGTCCAAATTTAATGAATCTGATCCGGGTCTCAAATCCACCAAAAACCAGTTTCCATTAAGCGACAGCTAAAATCTTGAATATTGAATACTATTTTTAGTGGAACCAACCATATTCGAGCCGCATCTCAAGTTTAATCCGCGACCTAAATTCTTGGGATGGTTACACTATCTCAGCAGTCAGCAATAAAGGTTTCCAATCAGAATTCGGTTTACCGCGACAATTGTGTTTAATTGCATTGCGGTGAATTAACGCGATGCTTGCAACAGGGAATTGTGCGTGCAGCGGATTTGCTAAAATTTAAAGGGAGTGCGCGGAATTAGGATGAAATATGCGTAATTACACGCAATTTTGCAACTTGATTTGGAAATCCTACTTAAGAGATATTTGGCAAAAATAATATCGATTTTTGCGTGAGAACTGGCAACCTTTGGATCACTGTGAACATAACATTTTTCTTTTTAAATAGTTGTTATCTTTCAAATAGTTGTTATCTTTTAAATAGTTGTTATCTTTTAAATAGTTGTTATCTTTTAGATAGTTATCTTTTAAATTGTTGCTACCTTTTAAATAGTTGTTACCGTTTAAATAGTTGTTATCTTTTAAATAGTTGTTATCTTTTAGATAGTTGTTATCTTTTGAATAGTTGTTATCTTTTGAATAGTTGTTATCTTTTAAATAGTTGTTATCTTTTAAATAGTTGTTATCCATTACATCGCATTTGTAGCTGGTTTATGTGCCTTCCATGACGCCTTTGAAGGTAATAATTTTCAAGAGTGTTATTTTCCCAAATTGTGCATTTTTCAAGTGAAATTTCGAAAGTCTTTATTCAGATGAAGAAACTAAATATTTCAACATTATGAAATATAATCTTACTCCGTTCTTAAAACATAAAACATTTTGGAAAATTAATCACAATCTGCTTCTACAGCGCTTGTAACAGATCCCTTACATAGTGACAAAATTTAAATCTTAAACTTCAAAAAACACTGGCAATATTTCATATTCATTTGCATTTGCAAAAACTGTATTTGAAACATAATACTTTTCACACTTTAGATGGTGTGAAGCTTCATTCTTTAAGTTCAATAAAAATAATTTAAAATTGAAATTAAACATATTTTTTTTAACGCCATTTACTTAAGAATATTGACAAAAGGAACCCCTTATAAAAATAACGTTTTTACTGCAATGTTATTATTTACTAGAGTCATACGTATATTGTTCACCATATTAACATGAGAACACGCTGTATTTCAAGATATAATCAATCTTTAGGAACATTGAGTTATATCCATCTAAAAGTGTGTTAGATTGTTGAAATGATAACATTTATAAGAATATAGGAACAAATTATTTGAGCTTCTTTTAAAAATGTAAAAGTACATAATTATGTGAAAGCATAAAACTAAATTATGATTATATTCATCATATCTCTCCACTCAAATATACAGGTTATAATTCGTCAAGGGAAATTTGGACGCTTCTTCTTAATTAGATTCATAGAAGCAGCACTTAGTTTATATCAGAACCAAAGTGTTTTTTTTTCTGGAGGGGAGGAGGGANAAGCACTTGTATGAGAATATAAAAAATGGTAAAAATATGAGTATTGTAGTGAAACAAAAATTCGAATGTCTTTTTTTCTATTAGAAAATTGAAAACTGATTTGCTTCGAATAATTCATATTTCTATTACGATCAACTGAAGTAAATATTATTTATGTATAATTAAGTTAGTTATCTCTGTTTGTTTATTTAGTTAGAATTTAGAGACTAATCCAAACCTTTGATAATCGCAAGGTTTTGGGGTTCTGCCTTTAAATCAGTGTTTATTTGGTTTAGTAAAAAACTTTTTCTTTCAGTTGAAAAAAACTCTCAATAATCTTTTGAGGGTACATAATCCTGTAGAAGCATTAAATAAATCTTTGCCCACTTAGAATTTTGATCAAGGATTTCCAGCGAACGAAAACTTTGGCGAAAAATGCGAAAACGAATTTTAAAGCGAAAACGATGCAAAATTTTCGAACTTTTTGTTCATGCGTGAATTTTTTTTCGTAAAACGGATTAGCATGAAATTTGGCGAAAAGGCAAAAATTTTCAGTTCTTTACGGATAGGTGCTAAGAAAGGAGAATTTTTTTCCCGTAAAGATTTTCCTATTTCGCTGGAATCCCTTGATTTAAAATTAGACATTTGATCTACTCCCATAGCTTCAGTGTAAGGCCTAAACCAACTATGGACGCTGATGTAGACATACTTTGATTTCTTTTCTTAATAGATGACATTCGTGTAAGTATTTATATGAAATCATTATAAAAATTGTTCTTATCAATGTTATATTGTTTCTATAATACTTCAATATATATTTAAACTCTCCTCCCCCTTTTATCTGTTAAACTGTAAAAAAATCTAGCAAGTATCACCATATAGATAAAGAATCAAAGAAAAACAGTTTATATATAGATTGAGCAGTTTGAAACCGGTCAGTAAAAGGATATCAATATATCACGCACCTCTGCCCCTTTAGTAAAAGTAAATTCAACCTAAATGAAACATAAAGTCTGGCGTCAACCTTGTTGCACCGGCTAGTCATGCCCATAGAACTAGGTACAGTACAAACTGGGACCGGAAAGGTTGACCCGGATCGGAAATTATTCATTTACCTGATTTCTGCAATCTTGGAACCTCCCTTCCCAATGACGCATCCAATGATCTCATTAGGAACAGTCATCTCGTGTGTCTGGTGGGAGCTAGCCAAGGCTTGGTTTCTACAGTTCCCAGTACCCGCCAGGGCAGACAATGCTAGACAAACATTATATACAGTGAAACACAGAATATTGTATACAGTGAAACACAGAATATTGAATACAGTGAAACACAGAATATTGTATACAGTGAAACACAGAATATTGAATACAGTGAAACACAGAATATTGTATACAGTGAAACACAGAATATTGTATACAGTGAAACACAGATAATTTTATGCAGTGGAAAGTAGAAAATTGTATTCAGTGGAACACAGAAAATTGTATACAGTAGAACACAGAACATAGTATACAGTGGAACGCAGAAATTTGTTTTCAGTGGAACACAGAAAATTGTATTCAGTGGAACACAGAAAATTGTATACAGTAGAACACAGAATATTCTATTCGGTGGAACACAGAAAATTGTATACAGTGGAGCACAGAAAATTGTATTCAGTGGAACACAGAAAATTTTATACAGTGGAACACAGAAAATTCTATGCAGTGGAACACAGACAATTGTTATACAATGGAGCACAGAAAATTATATACATTGGAACACAGAAAATCGTATTCAGTGGAATGCACAGTAAATTATACAATGGAGCACAGAAAATTGTATACCGTGGATCAAAGAAAATTGTAATGTATATTTCGGCAATGTTTATTTGATATTTTAATAAAGCAAATAATATATAAATAACTTTAAAATTAGATTATTTATTAAATTGATTTGCACATAGCCTGCTGGGTTAAATTTTCATTAGCATTCTGAACAGTTTACTACTTGTTGGAGAAAGGATACCAGGTTAAAGTAAAGCACTGTGGTTAGAACAGTTTACTACCTGCTGGAGAAAGGATACCAGGTTAAAGTAAAGCACTGTGGTTAGCTCAGTTTACTCTACCTGCTGGAGAAAGTATACCAGGTTAAAGTAAAACACTGTGGTTAGAACAGTTTACTACCTGCTGGAGAAAGGATACCAGGTTAAAGTAAAGCACTGTGGTTAGAACAGTTTACTTCCTGCTGAAGAAAGGACACAAGGTTAAAGAAAAGCACTGTGGCTAGAACAGTTTACTACCTGCTGGAGAAAGGATATCAGGTTAAAGTAAAGCACTGTGGCTAGAACAGTTTACTACCTGCTGGAGAAAGGATACCAGGTTAAAGTAAAGCACTGTGGCTAACACAGTTTACTACCTGCTGGAGAAAGGATACCAGGTCCAAATCCAGGAATTCCATTCATTTGGGCGTAGGCTGCAGGCATCATACCCTTACCATACTATAACAGAAATTGGTTTTCATACTTCAAGTTTGATCCAGTTGACATCACAATATTATGGGTTAAATATGAAAAAAAAATTTTGCTTTCAATTATTCTCAAATCTCTCGAATTACTTTTTTTCAATTAGATAAATCAACAAAAGTGATCTCTGTTTTTAAATCATAAAATTATACTCAAGTAAATCCAACTTCTGGGGTTTAATCTTAAAATCATGGCTATGTTGTACAAGAAAGTCATTAAATTGGTACAGGTCACGCAAAACCGCGGTGTTTATTTGAATATCTGAGCTGGGCCAACCTTTGCGGTCCTACTTTTGTCTGTACCACCGATTTACAAATGCTTGCTACTATTACAATGTTGCTGCAGTGGGTGAAAATTAAAATAAGAAAATTTAAAAAAGGGTGACTAAACTAAGTATAAATTGTTTGGATAATCAGATTTTTAAAAAGTTTAGTTTTATTTATTTATTGCATTTGTACAGAACATACCTTAAACATTACATTTTAATACATTGCTAGAAAATCATGCTGGGATAGTAATGTTTGTTTGCAAGTTTTTAAAACCAGTTTAATGTATAGAAAACAGTTTATATGTTGTTCAAAATAATGGTTTCTAAAAAACATATTGATCCTTGTTCAAATTTACTACGCTAGGGTCTCACAATACCCCTGGGGAAAGGAATTGCTACAGAGAAAGAAAGGGATGAGAATACGGAGAATAAGATGTAAATGGGGAAAAATGGGAGAGAAAAAGTAGTGAAGAGTAAAGGAAAAAAGAGGGGATACCGGATAGATAGGCAATTTAAGGGTTGGGAAGAAGATTGGTTAAGAAATAGACAAAGGGAATAAGATGATAATAAAGAATGGGCGAAAGTAAAGAAAGTGGTGAAGTTAGGACCACAGAGCCCGCGGGAATCAAGTGACACAAGCTGTTGTCAGAGTTGGGTCTAAGATTGGGTCTTAAAGCTGGGTGGAATAACGACCCGAGCCGAAGCCTTTAAATTTTGGGCTAGGGAAGATAACATAAATATTTTTTCATTGCTAACAACTTGCCTCTAGGGGTTGCTGACAGTATATCGGTTTAGGTTCAGGGGCACCATGCATCAGTGGGAACATGGATGGGTTCAGGGGCACAGCTGTATACCTCACACAGGGGCCCAGAGGGTAGCCAGGAGACATCAGGGGCGTCGGGGAAAACAAGGGGGACATCAAGGGCATAGGCTCCATATGGATGGGGTTGCAGGGTGGAGGGCTTGCATAGGAGGAGGTGGCGGAGGATTCTTGAAGGGAGGTTACGGAGGTGGCGGAGGAGGGCGGAGGAACAGAATACTGAACTGCTTTGTAGGGGATTGTTGGTCCCTTAGGAGGAGACTGAAATAGATAAACTGTAGTTTCTTTGCCCCTGGATAAAGGGAGGGAGGAGGGGGGATATATTAGGCTTCCCCAGGCTATGGGATATATTAGTAAACAAATTTTACGACTTTTAAGCAATACATATAATCCAAATAGTGAATTTAATATATACGGATAAAACTCGGAAATATTCCGCTGTATCAAACTTAATACAATTCGATAAAATGAATGCTTTCACGTAACATTTCTTTATCAAATTGTAAGAAAAATGTGGTTCAATACGTCACTACTTGATAATAACTAATCTCGAGAATCTAGATTATTTGATTTAATTATTTCTTGACGTTTCTGCAATTATTTATTCTATTGTTCATTCATATATCATTTTTATTCCCCCCCCCCCCCTCATCTTTACATGTATAACTGTATTCTAGATGTATATTCCTGTATATTTTAGACATATATTTTCCTGTATATTCTAGATGCATATTTCTGTATATTATAGGTGTAATTCCGGTATATTCTAATTTCTAACTGTATATTCCTGTTTATTTTAGACATATGTTTTCATGTATATTCTAGATGCATATATCTTTATATTATAGGTGTATATTCCGGTATATTCCTATATAATCTAGTTGTTTATTCCTGTATATTCAAATCCATATTCCTCTATATTCTGGGTGTATATTCCTGTATATTCTAGGTGTATATACCTGTATATTCTAGGTGTATATTCCTGTATATTCTAGGTGTATATTCCTGTATATTCTAGGTGTATATTCTTGTATATTATAGGTGTATATTCCGGTATATTCTAAATGTATATTCTTATATATTCTAGTTGTTTATTCCTGTGTATTCTAGGTGTATATTCTTGTATATTCTAGGTGTATATTCCTGTATATTCTAGGTGTATATTCCTATATATTCTAGGTGTATATTCCTGTAGATTCTAGGCCTGTCTGAATGCATAAAGTTGAATAGTTTGAATACCTCTAGTTAACCTTACACATATATAACAAGGGTATTTAGATTAGGTAGCTAAGTAATACTAATAATAATAAGTCTGCTATTCAAGAATTTAACATTAGAACTTTATGGATATAAAACAAATTTTAAGTTGGACTTTACAGAAGTGATGTTTAAAAATCATTTTATATTTTGATGGTAAAGTTTAAAATAAATACTAACTAACTTTTTTATAACAATACCTAAGTTTAAATTAATTAAGAGCAGTAGTTTGACTAGGTTTTACTAGTTGAACTACTATTTGCAAATCATCCATCCTTACCTTAGTGTTTTTTCGTCAACTCCCCCCCCTTCCTCTCCCCCTTCCTCTCCCCTTTCCCTTTTCCCCATCTGTTTAAATATTGGTTAAAATAAACATAAAAGAACAGAAAGAATGCTGGAAAAGAAAATCGATATTCAACACTGGCAAAATTCAAGACCGGGAAATGTTTAAAAAAGAAAAAATTTAAGGTTTGTAAACACCCTTTAACCCATTCTTGGTATAATATTTGAATTTAGGGCCATATGATATTACGTGGACAGTCCTTTTACATTTTTAAAATTTTTTTTAACATTTTACAAAACTTGAATCAAAATATGAAATGATTTTCTCAACATTACATGCTGTAAAGTTTAATTTAGAATGTGTGAATTATCGACAAAATTCTATTCTTAAATGCGTTCAAAGATTTAGTAATTTTAAAATGTTTTGGGTTATCAAATACAGAATTTTATATGGGTTTCTTTAAATTTTAATTTTAAAATTAAAATTTAAAGTACAATTTCATTTTATTATATTGTTGGATAGTTGGACATTTATTGATCTCAAAGTCCAGAAGTTGAATGTTTTCCAAAGTTTAAAACTAATATATTTATGTATTTGAAGTTTTACCATTTCAATCAATATTTCAGTAATTTTCGAATTTTTATAGATGCTGAAATACAGCGCAGGAACCTTATAACTCTGGAATATGATAAGGAAATTTATATTTGATCTTGTTTTACCACGCACCTCTGCCCCTTTAGTAAAAGTAAATTCAACCTTCATGCAGCATAAAGTCTGACCGCGTCAACCTTGTTGCACCGGCTAGTCCTGTACAGAGAGCTAGGTACAGTACAAACTGGGACCGGAAAGGTTAACCCGGCTCAGAAATTCAAATGTACTATGGCTGCCCGTGTTACCAATAGCTTGACAAGTTAAGTAAAATGGGTGCGTGTAAACTACATAATTGATGTGTTTTATGTTTGTTAAGTAAAATGGGTGTGTGTACACTGCATAATTGCTGTGTTTTATGTTTGTTAAGTAAAATGGGTGTGTGTACACTGCATAATTGCTGTGTTTTATGTTTATTAAGTAAAATGGGTGTGTGTACACTGCATAATTGCTGTGTTTCATGTTTGTTAAGTAAATGGGTGTGTGTACGCTGCATAATTGCTGTGTTTTATGCTTGTTAAGTAAAATGGGATTAGAAAATTGAAAACTGATTTGCTTCGAATAATTCATATTTCTATTACGATCAACTGAAGTAAATATTATTTATGTATAATGAAGTTAGTTATCTCTGTTTGTTTATTTAGTTAGAATTTAGAGACTAATCCAAACCTTTGATAATCGCAAGGTTTTGGGGTTCTGCCTTTAAATCAGTGTTTATTTGGTTTAGTAAAAAACTTTTTCTTTCAGTTGAATATAAGAAAAAACTCTCAATAATCTTTTGAGGGTGCATAATCCTGTAGAAGCATTAAATAAATCTTTGCCCACTTAGAATTTTGATCAAGGATTTCCAGCGAACGAAAACTTTGGCGAAAAATGCGAAAACGAATTTTAAAGCGAAAACGATGCAAAATTTTCGAACGTTTTGTTTATG